CCCCCCCCAACCCACACCCACCCCTCGGCGACAGATTTGGGTGTTATAAGTCGTAACCTATGCTTTATTACTGATGCACTCCTCTTAATACTTATGTAATTATGTAATTGTATAATTATTTTTTTATTTTGTCTTGTTAACAATAACAAACATACCTTTTAGATGTTTTAAAGCAATAAATTGGGTTTATATAAAAGAATGCGTTAACAGAAAGTACGGGGACGTGTGTGACCAAGATTGTTCTGACAACTGTAAAGACCGATCATGCATGAAAGAAAATGGATATTGCCTAGGTAATTAGTATACGCCTAACGGGTACAAATACTGCACAATAAAAGTTATTTTTACATGTCTATATTTTCTAGATATAACATTTAGCAATACAATTATGAAAACCATATAAATGAACGTATGTTAGATTATGGCAATACTTACTAGCACACTATTAAAAGGGTTAATCGAGTTAATAACAAACACATGTGTATGCAACATTTGAAATATGGTCTGTATGCGTCATTGGACAAAATCAATCATTTTACAGAATGTGTTCCTGGCAAACATGGTGATGATTGTACAACTGATTGCTCTGACAACTGTAGAGACAAAACATGTGTGAGGAGCAACGGACATTGTATAGGTAAGTAGTATATTATATACAATTATTGCATAGTTAACGACGAAAGAGCAATTCACTGTGCTATATCGAACTGGGATTCGTCTTAATTCATTAATTCCAATTTGTTCAAAAAATAGAGAATATTTTCAATCACCATCTATCGCCAAATCGACAGCCGAGAACGTTATAAAAGTTTTAAAACCTCAATCATATATTTGATATATGTCATGCACGGTAAGCCAAATTGACCACATATCACAGTAAAGACAAATTAAATTCAATGTTTATTTATATATATCCATATATATGTATAGGTCTCATAAGTAATAACGACAGAATGATCCAATATTGGCCCTTTATCCGAACAAACAGATTTTAGTTGGATGCGTATTACTTAAATAGGTAAATGGGCAAAGAAGTAGTTATCGACAGTGCAGACAAAAACAACTGTCAAATATTCATGACGATCTGCCCCTTTATAAAGAAAGGAACATGAAAATTTACACATCACAACATGTAACAGAGATAAACAGTCACCATGAAATAATGATACATTAAAATACATAATCAAACAGAAGTTACTTATATTAGATATGCTGTTGTAATCGCATATCCCCTTTATTAACTTGTAACCGAAAGCTAAATATAGTAAATAATTCATCTTGTATACGTAAGTACAAATGAATTATTACTAAAAATTCTGAATGAATGTAGAGAGAACAATCTTATGTCGTAGCTATTTAGAAACATTGAACGCCGATAGTTCTAACCTTTAAATAATCACGTCCAAAATGTACCTATTTATTATGATGGAATACTTATTTAATATATTTTACTGACAATGTCTTATCATCATACGTAACGAAACGAGACAGGCATGGTTAATCATGAATGCATAATCTTTAGTTTATGTCGTATGCAAGTTAGACTATGTGCAAGTTATATTTTGAAGCTGTTAAGGGGACAAATGCTGTTTTGTATGGAGTAGGGAAACCGACGGAGGGGTAGGGGACTAACAAACATAACTTCCCTGGTTCAGTTACCGCTGGGGAAAAAAACGAATATCTATGGAGAGCTACCCACGCTTGTTGTGTATCTCACGCTTAATGACACAGTAATAATCGACTATTCTTGTAAGCGTTCAATTCTACCAAGGCATACCTTACAATTGGTATTGTAATGTTTCTGTTATTTGGTCCTTTTGAACAAAAAAGTGGAATATTTAAACAAAGAATGTTGATGATATTATATTGTATGTTTATGTTACAGAATGTGTCAAAGGAAAGCACAGTGACGTTTGTGACCTTAATTGTTCTGACACATGTAAAGATAAAACATGCTTGAAGGAAAATGGATTTTGTTTTGGTAAATCTTTTTCTCATTATATAATATTGATTTAATAAAATATCATATTCCAATAAAGTATCAAATTTTAAAAAAGAATCTTCCTATTTCATTTCAGCGGTCTTAACACGTATATCATTTATTTCTATGATGTACTTAATGTGAGGCAATATCAGATTTAATCACATTAAACACACATTGATGTTTTAATGTACTTCAGTGTCTGCGTTATTTGACTAAGGATATAAACCTTGCACATATATTTTGTAAGCAGTGCACCTCATCTACTGTGTTGACTTATGGAATATAAATGCATGGTGACATACATAATGTTTATTTTCAGACTGTATTCCTGGTAAAACAGGCGAACTGTGCACTTCCAACTGTTCTTCTAACTGTGTGACATGTAACCAGACATCCGAACAATGTTTTGGTAATGATAGCTTCTCATTGTCATCACTGTTAATTTGTTTGTTGATGGTTTAGTAGTGCTACAATAAATGTAAATTACTGCGCATAAGGGGAAGTAACTCTTACAATAGTTAATTCTTGATGATGCGCTCATCCAAATCACAGGCTACTTCTTTCTCGTGAAATTCCTTGATCCATTCAACATTTAGGACATCACAGTTTCCCTTAACACAAATACTTTAAATCTTAATGTTATTATTTTAGAATGTTTTCAACGGACACATGATGACATGTGTATCATTTCCTTTCACGGTAAACGAGGCATTCACCTCAAGAGATATGTTGATATTTTGTTTTTCCACCTGACATAAAACGATCATAATTTTAAATGTATTATTAATGTATTATATGCTTGCATTCCAGATTGTGTAAATGGAAATTTCGGAGACATGTGTGACCAAGAATGTTCTGAAAACTGTAACGACAAATTATGCATGAAGGACAGTGGCCATTGTTTAGGTAATCAGTGTAGTATTCATCTTAACAGAGACAGTGGTGTAATGGAATTTCTGGTATTTGCCAATAATCGAAATTACATCATATGCAAATCTAGGAGTTCATGAAAAGATCTTTTCTATAAATTGTTAGAAGAAATCATTTATAAAGAGCAGTCACCGTAATTTTAGGGGTCGTGAACTTTAATTGTGATACTGTAAACGCTACGATAAGATTTAATATGCATCGATTATTCAACTACGAGTAACAAATCTTGAACAAACGTTTGGTTGAAAGGAATTGTTCACTATCTAGATAGAACCTTGCAATAGATTCTAACCTCACAATCAGTCATTACTTTTTTGGTACAGTTCCCTTCATCTTATACATTTTCAGTTTAAACATCATTTATAATTATATATTCAAAATGTTAATGCATTTAAATCTTACCACTTTATATTTTATCGATGAAGATGAACACCTTTCACATTTTATCAGACCTATTTGCAACCACTGGCCCGGGCCGCGTAGTTCTCTGAGAATATAAGTGGAGTGCTTGGTACTGGCAGATCCCGTAAATAAGAGACTGCTTGTCATTTCTGTTATATTATTGGAACTCTAATCCGTATTAATGGAAATTTAGGAGACATGTGTGACCAAGATTGTTCTGACAACTGCAAGATCATTGTTTAGGTAATCAGTATGATATTCATTTTGACAGAGACAGTGGTGTAATGGAATTCCTAGTATTTGCCAATAACCGAAATTGAATCATATGCAATTTGTGGAGTTCATGCAAAGATATTTTTTCTTTAAACTGGTACTCTTATTCCGGTGCTAGCATTTCCTCATTTTCTTTCAACGATATTTTCATGATGGTTTTAACGCTAGAATGTGTAAGTTGTTTATATTCTGGATGTTGTAAGATATGAAGGTGAAATTAACACTGCCACAATTTCTGGGCGGGAGGTTGATCGGTATCATAAACATAATAATATGATTCACTGTCACTATAAAGCGTATCCATTTTTCTAGAAAATTGCTGTTAGAGGTCATGCCTGGTTTTTTTCAATCAGCATAAATACTGTCATAATAGTAAACAAGTTTGTTTTACACGACACAAGCAGACATTTTTCTCTTTAAATCCTTTGCGGAGGGATATTTTCCTCCTGGTGCAGATGGGACTGTTGAAGTATTAGTATAACGGCATACTTGCTCTCAACAAAAAGTCAGTTATAACAATTATTGTCATCCAGCGTTACCCTGACAGTGTGTTAGCTTGCAGACCTGCTCCCACTTTGTGAGATAAAAACATAATTATGAAAATACCTGCTTTTATTATCAAACCAGGAATTACATGTTAAGCTGATAATGCTGATAACTCTCTCTCTCTCTCTCTCTCTCTGAGTGTTGTGGAGGCTGATAATACTGTCAACATTCTTTTGAAATAATTTATTACTTTATCTTTCAGATTACAAAGTATCATAATATAGTATCAACCGACATAGTAGATCCATATAATATAGTATCACCCAACATCTACTGCGATGATAAGCCAATCAAACAATTCAAATCAAACGCAAATAATCAATGACAATGTCCCCAAGTTCTAATAATAAAATATGGACAGCATGTATATATTGTTTTCACGCCGGAGATTAACACCCCTACCAGTCAAATCTAACAGACAACATTTGTTGTAACACATGCTCTTTTAACTCTTGTTATTAAATCGAACATTAAAACATACATTTTAGTTTACTACTAGAGTACCAATTAACAAAACGTAACTTTTTAAGAAAATTGAACAACAGTTGTATCAAAACTACAATCAGGCATCTCAATATACTTCTACAAATCATAGTTAGCTCACAAATGCGACTACAAGCTGACCTTCGACAAAATGGCTATGGTCTCTTGGCTATAAATAACCCATGGAACTAAAGAGACAGTCTCTCGCACAAACTAATAACCTATGCACTTTCATTTCTAATGTACTGTGATGTGCGATTGTATTCATAATGATGTAGTATGTGTCATGTACGTATCATACGTAATGTAGAAATGAAATATTAGTACATTTGCATTAAGTATGCAATACGTCAACGAGGAAGAACTCCATCTGTATAGCTCTATGTCGTCGTCGTCGCTTATAATGAGTTTGCTTAGTCCATGCTTTACGTCACAGAACTGATATTTGTATAGATAAGGCAATTACTGCTCCTCTTTTAAGGAATATTGTACTACAGACAACTTCTATTAGGACACTGATTGCTCCAAGGACATGATAGTCGGATTAGGAGTTTACAGAATGTTTTGTTGTCTTTATGCACTGCAAATTGAGGATATCTTATATTTTTGTGACTTGTAATTTATTGATGGGCAGTGACCATAGTGACAGTGTTTTAATGAAAATTGATAAAATGTGGTTTCTTAATCGTTATCACAAAACTACATGTAACAAAGTCATACAACACTTACCAAAATATTTCAACAATGACCACCTTTTTTATATACATGATAATTGTTATTATTTGAATGACATATTTTGTTTCAGTATGCACTCACGGAAAGTACGGCCCGTTCTGTACTTTTGCTTGTCCGGGTAAATGCAAAGACAACATTTGTCAACAAATCAATGGATTATGCACAGGTAAAATAAAGACGTCAGCATTTACGTTATAGTTTAAAGTTAAAAAGAGATATCACTGAGTAGTACTAATGTCTAGAGTTAGTTTTGAAGCAGAACGATTACATTGCTTATATTGACGTGTTCATTTTGTGCTGGAAATGATCTATTTATAGAAACAGTGACTGTAACGTTAAACGTGAACGGCAATAATAAGCCAAAACATGCCATAGGGAAGTAGTGTATGTGTTTGAGTTTGGATGTTTTAGGAAACTAGGGTTATTGCGTAAAATTAATAATTGGTTAATTAATTATTTGTTTTATCGAGCAAATACTAAACAAGTTTGAGAATATATATTTCCAGCAAGAACTCAGATAAATGTGACAAAATACAGGTGGTATCGACGGACAAAATGACGGACGGCCAAGCATTATCAGAATTCACTTATTGGTATGGAGCGGCATACTTCACCTTTTTATAAGTATGAGAAGCATGGCCACATAACAGAAAAGCCAAAATGTGGGTTTGAATTGTGTGCTGAATAATATGTATACTACCATTACAGCCCCACTTGCATTACAATTTGTTCATCAAAAACCTCTTTGAAAGAGGTAAACTTGACTTTTTATAGCCTCTAGCCTCCGTAACATAACCTTATTGTACGTCAGCGTATTCACACTCATTGAAAAGATCATGTATGAAAAACAAACTTATTGATGGAGGTTTTTTCTCTGACAAAATAGAATGCGAAGATGGTTTATTTGGTGGAAACTGTAGCACACCATGTGGAAATTGCGAAAGATGCACGAAGGACACAGGGTATTGTTTGTCTGTCTGCGCTGCTGGATACGAAGGGAATACATGTGATATGAGTAAGATATGGACTGCCCCTCTTATACATTTAATAAGCACGCCCCTACTGACTTTATCCCTTTGTATTTGTTTTTGAATTATTTATTAACATATTAACAGTGTGTTGTATACATAAAGATAAACATGATGAAACCGTTTCTATTTCCTACAATGTAATAGCCTCCCTTGATATCATTTCCGACATATCATGTTGGTACGTTACTACATTAAGTCCATTTTGTAATGCTCAGTTAAGTCAAAGTTCATTTCTGAACATCCAATTGTAATAATACAATGCAGCGGTCGATTACATGAAGGAGGACATTTCTTCCATTCAGCTAAGGATTGAAATGAATTGTACTGAGTTAAATATTTTGATTTTCATATTTAAGAAACAATGCCGTCAGAACCAATCAGTAATGCTGGGGCGATCGTGGGCGTTGTTATTGGACTACTTCTGGTGGCTGCTACAATACTCATCAGCGTGTTCCTGGTCAGAAGGTATTCTTTTGATAATGGTTTAAGGTATTGAAGGATAATTTACGATTTTGTTAACCTAATGGCATGACTAGTGATTTTATATTAAAATCTGACGATTGTAACCGCAGCCTCATTGATATACCCCCATACTAAGTACATGTATACAATGTATGTTCAACAAAACAATGCTCCTCCAAGTTTTGATATTGATAAAATTGAGGGGATTTACACAGACCTCCCGCTGTTTCAACAGTACATTTTGACCCTAGCATATCCGATGAGTTCAAAAACGACTGACTACTATACGGTGCAATGTAATTCATTTAGGCATGCTGTTTATATTACGTCAAAGGTGCAATCTCCTGTGTAAGCCCTCCTTCCATCCTTCAACGTAAACTGATCAAATGCGTA